CCAGAATACTTACTTTGTTCTAGAATTCCAAATACACTGGCAACATTTTTTAAAAAGCTACTGATTGTGGTTGCAATCAATGCTCCCTCTAAGCTGTGGAGTCTTGTCAGCAGAAATGCTACTTTGTGAGCTCCTGGCATTAAAGTTGTGAGCGAGTGATTTGGCTACTGAATAAATTAGTTTGCTCTGGAGCCTTCCTTCCTGAGCGAAGACAAAAATGTGTGAACTGGAGGCTAAAAAACTGTGAGCTAGCTCACACTGACTCAGTTTAGAGGGAACACTGGTTGCAATCCATCTTCCCTTCAAGCAAACCTGCATGACTTCCCTGTTTTATTTAATGAAAACATTTATTAGTTGCCTTTCTTCCTAAAGGAGTTCAAGACGGCTTAAAAGCCTAGGCATATTCTCATTTCCAGGTTTAGGTCTGTGTATTCTTATTTTTTAAAAGATATTTATTCCCCTGTTTTCTCCCCAAGGGGGGACCCAAAGCAGATCACAAATGCTCCCATTTTATCCTCGCAACCACCCCGTGCGATAAGTTGGGCTGAGGAAAAATAAGTGGCCCAAGTTCACCCAGCTGGTTTCTGTGGCAGAGTGAGGGTTCGAACTGGGCTTTCCCAGATTCAAGTCTGGTGTTCTGACACTGTGCTCTCTAGACTAGGGGTGTCAAGCATGCGGCCCGGGGGGGCGGACGAGGCCCCCGGAGGGCTTCTATCAGGCCCATAGTGGAACTGGCTGTCGTCTGCATCTTCTTCCAGTTCTGCTGCTGCTGTGTCATCGTAGGTTTGCAGCTTACAGAAACACACCTGAACAGCATCCTCAAGATTACAGTAGCGCAGATATTTTGATGCAATAATTCAGAGCAAGAGGTGTCAGTTATCAAACACTGTTAATATTGCAAGAGTGCTACTGTTTTTATTTTAAGTTTTAAAAAACCCTGTTTGTGTTTGTGTCCTTTATAAAGTTTATATCTCCGCTACCTGGCATTACATCTTATGACACACATGGCCCGGCCCAACAAGGTCTTATTTATGTCAGATCCGGCCCTCGTAACAAATGAGTTCAACACCCCTGCTCTTGACAGCAGTGTTGGAAATCTGGAGACCAAAGGCAAAAGCTATTTTCTTCTACATGGCAAACACAGATGTGTAGTGTCAGGATGTTGGCTGGGAGGGAAAAGGCTAACACTGCAGGATGCTGACGGCAACGTTTCCTTTGTGTTTTCCAGGCAGCCTTGGATTTTGTGGTGGAAGAGGACTTGAAAGCTCACCTGACGTGTTGGTACATCCAGAAATACGTCAAGGAGAACCCGCTGCCTCAATATCTGGAACATTTGCAGTCGTAATGGAGGAAACCCATCGTAGAGCCCTGATGGCTCAGACACTCGATAGCCTGTTCCCCGACTTTCCAACAACAGCCTTTGATCTTGCGCTGGTTCCGGGCCCCCAGTTGTGTGGCCCTTGCTCAAAATTCTTATTTTTTGTAAGGACGCAACGTGCGACCGACCGCTTGATGCTTCCATCCGCCTCTGGTTCTTCCAGTGCTTTTTGGCTGACCTGGAATTGCAGTGTTTACTCTGGCCTCCTCCTTGGAAGAAACCATCAGGTGTAGGAAACGTGGCTTGAGGCAGCAGTGGCGGGAGAGCTGAGCTCCTTCTGTGCAGCCCTTGACCAACTGGATTGCTGTCTTTTGTTCTTCCTCTCAAATGAGTGAAGTGTTTAGGAATGCCATCTAAGAAACGTGGCACTGATGAACTTGTCAACACCAAACACAGCTGGAAGGGTCTGGATCCCACGCTTGTGAGGGAGCAGGGATGGTCTTTTGATATGTGGGCCGCTCCTGGGCCACGTTTTGATATAGTAAGAGGGAGATAATTCTAACCGGATAGAATAAACCTGGGTAGGACCTGGGGGTGGAATGAGTTTCAGTGCCATCAGCATGATGTTTAAGAGGTGGTGTCATCTGGACCTGTGGCATAGTTCTTGTTATCTGCCCTAGTCCCAGTAGCTGCCTGACAGAAGCAAAAAAAAAAAGGGGGGGGGTTAATCTATTGATCCAGTTGGGTGGAAAACGTAAACGCTGCTGTGTGTCTGAGAAGGAAAAGAATCTGGTGCAGTGTGTATTTTGGGGGTTGGTTTTGGTGGGAACCCCATGTTCTTATCAAGTGGAGGATATGGCTTGTTGTGGGGAGAAGCAATAACAGACCCAAGCGTTGGGGTGGGGGCTGAGGAGGGAAAGAAGGAAGGAAACGGTGAAGGCAAACTTTGAGGGAAACGAATTCTGAGCAGTGAGCAATAGAAAAGCCCTGACGTTCTCGAGAACCGCTTCATGGGTCTCAAAGGAAAACGGGCTGAGGAGAAAGGGAGAGAGGGACCAGAAGGCTAGGAATTACACATTATAAGCTGCCCCCTCCCACAGGGTAACCAGGACTTGTTGTCTGAACTCAGCTGGGTCTTCTGACTCCTCAAGCTAAGCAACGTGTGAAGGTATTCTTGTGTGGTTTAACCCAAGCTTCACTTCTTGAGGTGTGTGCGTGTGTGGCAAGTCTCCTGTGGATACACACCATCTTATTCTAGGCCAGCCTTTCTGCCCACTGTCTCTCCCTCCCCCCATTTCCTATAATGCTGTCCCCAGAATGGAGGCCGATACGCAGAAATGAGGAGACTTCCAGAGAGGCCCTGATTGTCCTGCAGAACACACTAGGCCCAGGTTGCCACGGCAATTGCAAACTGGGGTGGGCCCTACAGCGGCTCCAGACGTGTCGAACCGCTGCTTCCTCTCCCCAACCTGGATCCATGCCTTCAGGAGATTTGGTGGAACTCTGGGACTAGGTCCTCGGTCAAGACGCTCACATTGATTAGAAGTTCGGGCTGCCGTGTTTGTGCTCCTGTTATTATCAGCAATAAGACTGTTCCGTCTCATTAGAACTGGCTCTTGGCTGTTTTGAAGTTTGTCAGGGATGTTCCGTCCTCTCACACATCCCTCCTGTCTTTCCGGAGCGGAAAAAACCTGCAGTCTTCCAAGCCAGCTTCCAATTATGCCTGTGTGGATTGTTGCCCTGTCCAGCAAGGCATAGAGGGCAAAATCGATCATTGTACAACTAAGAAAACATGAAGGCCTTGTAGATCTGTGGCTGCCAGTTTTCTTTCCTTCCTGTCCCCGTAAGGTGCTGCTTGTACCTGGAATACATTCTGTGGGTGCCTTTCAAAAGAATAAGATCTTTGTCCCGGTGCTTTTATACACACACCTGACCTGTCTGTTGGGTTGCCGGATACAAGGAACCCACAGAAGAGTCACAGTGTGTTTGATGCAGGAGGTCATTGCTCTGGGTGATGAATGTTCCAGGGTGGGAGGCGCTGGCCCTTTGTCTAACTTTGGGTGAAGTTTGGCGAGATCGAGGGGAGACAAACCCGGCCTTAAAGACCTGCTCTGTTTTATGTTATTGCTGCAACTTTTGTGCTGAGGTGCTACAACAGTCTCTGATCCCACAGAGATGTTTTCTGATCATAATTTAACGATGGCCACAGAGTTTACTGCTGTACCCATATCCTCTTGGTTCTCTGTGATTCAGTTATGTCGACGAACAATTCTTCCCTCCCTGTCATGGCGAGGGGCTCAATAACCCGCCCCTTACTATGGAAGAAATCCCCTAAGTCAACTGTGATGGAAAGCTCTGCCTCCACCTGCCCTGTGTGTGTGTTTTTTAAGTTGCTCATCTCTGGGATAATAAGGGTGGTCTTTGCAGCTCGAGAAGACCCGGACCACTCTGATTTTGCGGCTGGGATTATCGATAATTTAAAAAGCCCTCCAACAGATGGATTTTAAGGCACAATGTCTGTGCCAAAAAGCCAGGTGGGCCAACAATACAGCTTCCAAGTCCATCAAATGTAACATTTCTACTAGGCTGTTCTCTCCAGTGTTGGTTTCTCCCCCTCCCTACTCAATGTGGATTTATTTTAATTTCTTTCCTCCCTCTTTCTGATTCTGTTGTGGTTAAATAATGTGCCTTTCCTACTCAGGACTCATTTTAAAAATACAACTAACTGGTGGGGTTTTTTTGTGTGTCTAACACGATCCTTTCTTGTGAACCGTATTCTTAATTAAAACTGACCTTATTGCATGGAATTCAATAAAAGGTGTGGCAAAATCAATCTGCCTAGGCTCGGCTGCTTGTGTTTGGCAAAGGGAGGGGGGAAATCCCTGTTGCTGAGGGGTTTACTTACCTCCAGGAATGTGTTTCCAAATATCTAATCCAAAGCAGAAGATGGTTTAATAGTAATTCTCCTTTCCACTTTGGAGTGTCTGAACAGGGCAAGGGTTGTGTACCTTTAAAAAAAAATGTTCTGCATGGTTCCATGGCTGTTGAGTGGGACAGTTGTAGAGAGCCCCTGGACATGATGTGATGGAAACTGTTAAAAGTTTTTAGCTGGCTCTAAACCTCCTCCCCAAAACCAGTACATACAGAGGAGGAGGAGGAGGAGTTGGATTTATATCCCCCCCCCTTCACTTGGAGCCTCAGAGCGGCTTACAGTCTCCTTCCATTCCTCTCCCCACAACCGATAGCCTATGAGGCAGGTGGGGCTGAGAGAGCACTTTCAAGAACTGCTCTTGAGACAACAGCTCTGAGAGAACTGTGACTGACCGAAGGTCATATCAGCAGCTGCATGTGGAGGAGGAGTGGGGAATCAAACCTGGTTCTCCAGATGAGAGTCCGCCGCTCTTAACCACTACACCAAACTGGCTCAAACAGGGCAAGGAGGTTAATGAAAGTGAAAGAGTGGCTCATCTTGAGTGGAAATCAGTCATGGCTCCTAATTCCTGGCCTCAGTGACTTCAGCCGACAGATTCCATGATGTTGCTTCCCTGCTTCCCGGTGTTATTTTAAAAATGCTTGTCCTGCCAGTGGCTGTAAGGTAGGACCCTACTTTGTAATTTTGCATCGTTTAACGTTAGCACTTGTGCTTTGCTTCAGTTCCGTTTTCAGATTTCCGTTTGGTTCCTTATTTATATAGTCAGACTAGAAATAATGTTCCAGAGGGTCACGGCATTTGGTCTGCAGTCAAACAGTTAGATTTGAGTGCAGTAGCACCATAGAGACCAACAAGAGTTTCAGGGTAGAAGCTTTTGTGAGTCAAAACTTCCTTTGTGTCTCATGACTCGTGTCTGAGGAAAGGAGCTTTGATTCTTGAAAGCTCATACCCTGAATTCTCGTTGGTCTCTAAGGTGCTACTGGACTCAAATTTAACGATAAGTAATAGCATAGATTGAAGGACAAAGAAGAAGGGGATGGCAAAGGATGAGATGGTTAAACAGCGTTATCAAGGCAACGAACATGAAATTAAGCAAACTTTGGTGCACGACGGAAGACAGGAGGGCCTGGAGTGATGTGATCCATGGAGTCACGAAGAGTCGGACTTGACTGTGCGACTGAACAACAACAACAACATGTAAATTAATAAACCTCCAGTCCAAAGCAAAGGAGCATGTTGACATCAGATTAGCAGAAAATTACTGAGAATGGGATTTGCCAGCAGATGGAATGTCCAGTAGATGGAAAATTAAAAGGTGGCAATGTGCGCAAATCTAGCAATTTATTATTTCTTCAGCGCAAATTTAGCCATTGATTTATTTCTTCAAATTTATATCCCACCTCCCCGCAAGCAGGCTCAGGGCGGCTAACAACAATAAATTATACAAGATATAATAAATAATTAAAACAATCAAGCAATTAAAAATAGCTTAAAATGGCAGGTGATATAGTAAAAGATAGCAGAATTAGAGGCTCCAATTATGTTAAGTAATTAATATTCAACAACAGCAGTGCAGCACACAGTAAAAAGTAGCAAAGAATAACAAAAAACAACTGTGAGCTGAATTTCCCACAAAGGGGACTTCATCAAAGTGAAATGCATCTATTGTCTGGAATAGATCTATCCATATAATCCATCATAGGAAAATGCAGAAGCCAAAGAATAAATATACAAGATAAATATCCAAAAAGTCCAACACTTTTCCTAGGTAATTTTTCCAGTGTTTCAGACTTCTGGTCCTTCCTCAGGATCAAAGAAAACTACTACTCAGAGTCTCATTCAATCTCCTTTTAAGATAATCAGAAATATACCCAACCTACGTCATCCTTGAAATCCAAAACAATATTGAGGTGCTTTATAAATTTAAATGGGTAACCAATGCCTGGAGGCACTTGGGGATTTTCATCCCTATCCACTTAAAAGACCTGCTGCAATACAACTATGGCATAATTTATAAAACAATCAAACTCAAACTAGGAAAGTGGCATCAAGTATTTTTTTCGTGGTCATTTTACTGAAATTTATTTTTCTGTTCCGTACGCTACCAATACACATCCCCCTACGTGACATTAAAATATTGCAGAATAGTCTTTTACAATTTCTTTGGGAGCACAAAAAAAGTAGGATTAGCTTCTATACTCTTCGCAAGTCAGCTAAAGATGGGGGTACCGGTTTCCCAGACCTGTTATTATACCATGATGCAGCTCAGCTTACGAATCTGTTCAAAATTCTTCATCCTGACATGGCACCAGACTGGATTTTAATTGAATGAACTGTCTCTGATTCTCGGACCCTGCAAGAACTAATGTGGAATCAAAAACAAGACAGGCCTAAATCTCTAATTCAAAATCCCTTCTTACAATGCACCTTGGCAGTCTGGGAGAGATATTGCAACAAATTGGCCCCTGTAATATCCCCGTTGTCAACCTTTATAAAGCAACGCTGGTTCCCACCAGCTATCTCAGACAATTCTTTTGACAATTGGAAACGTATGGGGTTAAGAAGACTAATAGATATCGCCTCTAAGGGGCATATCCTTAACAAAAACACTCTAGAAGACAAAGGCCATGATAATATCCTCTGGTACCAATATTTACAACTTCGCAATTGTTTACATAGTAAACTGATGCGTGATAGGCTTAAAGCAAACCTCACAGTATTCGAAGTATTGATCAAAAATCCCCAGGGAAACTTTAAGAAATACATATCACTGCTATATTAAATGTTATTATCAGCAACTGACAACAACCTTCCCTTTTATACCACGTATTGGAGCAAGGATTGTTCCCAACCACTTTCCCCAGTCCAATGGGGTAAAGTATGGAGCTCCTCTATTTTCCGGGCAAAAAGCATATCAATTTGCACTCAATACTTCAAAGTAATCACTAGGTTGTATTTAACCCCTCAAAAACTGAGCTACATTGAAAAAGGTGCCTCACCATATTGCTGGAGAGGATGCCAAGAACTAGGCACCTATAAACATTGCTGGTGGGATTGTAGCGTTATAAGAAACTTTTGGAAATCGGTTGTAAAACAAATTTACGACATAACTAATCTAGAGATCCCGATGGAAATGGAACCCTTAATACTAAACCATTGGCCAAAAGCTATACGACTTAGTCATAGGCTTCAATTAATAGAAATACTCTGTGCAGCTGCCCGTGCAGTTATAGCTAGATTTTGGAAGAATGACAAAAGACTTACTATATCTGATTAGTTTTTGAAAATTCAGGTATATTGTATAATGGACAAGCTAGCAGATTCTATGTCACCAGGAGATTCCGATTGGTATAACTCGAATTTTGTTAAAATTTGGTTTCCAGTTCTTGAATATTTCGCTTCACATAAGGAATTTGAACATATTCGTGAAGCCATCAATATTGTATATTAATACTGGTTCTAGATGCTACATGAGTTACACCCTTTTTTTCTTTCCCCAACTAAAGGTTGTATTACTATATTAATAACTGTTCTATGTTACAAATTCCATAACTGTTTTTTGCTATTTGTTACATCAACTGTTTTATGTTATAAGACATGTATGTCTGCGATTATTCTCTGTTATAGGCTCCAAGGACGTCTGTACAAGGTGGATGTTAATACTTTTGCGCTATGCTTGTAGTTTACATCGGTCACGAATGTATTTGATTATTAAATACAATAAAGCTTATAAAAATGAAAAAAAGATAATGCTCCTTAGCTATAATCAGCACCCCTAAAGTCTGCTTCAATGTATCAGGACCAAAAACATGCCTCCATTTGGTCCACAGCAGCCTTTAGGGGTGCTGATTAGTTGCCCAATGCTGAAGCAATAGAAAAGCATTATCTGGGTTGCCAGTTTTACAGTGCTAAAGTGGAACAATTGTCCCCCCAGGCCCTTTGCGAAGAGTTGAGAGTCTGACTCCAAAAGGATAAGATAGATTCAGGTGGGTAGCCGTGTTGGTCTGAAGCAGTAGAACAAAGTTTGAGTCCAGTGGCACCTTTAAGACCAATTAAGTTTTATTCAAGGGGTTAAGCGTTTGTGTGCATGCACACTTCTTCAGATACAGAATCTGAATCAAATACAGTACCCGAAGAAGGGTGCCTGCTCACGGAATCTTATACCTTGAATAACACTTTGTTGGTCTTAAAGCTGCCGCTGGACTCACTTTGTTCCAAAAGGAGAACTTAAGAGTGACCCCAATGACCTTAGCTCAGGGGGGCTGTGCTTTCCCCGAGAAGTCCATCCACTGCAATCAAATGAGAAGTGACTGCAGAGGGAATTCAAGGGCGTCAGGCTCAGACATAGTCACAGGCTTGCAATCCAGAGAACACGCTTGCTCGGGAGCAAAGCCCCCCCCTCGTATCCCCCAAGTGGACGCGTGACTGCAGCTGAGCAGCAAAAAGCGATTCTCGAGTGAAGGTAGAACAGACGGTGCTGCACTGCGCGGGGCCTGATTGGCCAGCCTCGATAGGGAGGGGCGGGACTAAAGTATCTCGCTCTTTCTCTGTGCCAGCTCGGCCACGCACGTGGCCCGCAAACGGTGCCGCATGGCGTTTTACCCTTTCTGGGAATTGTAGTCCTTTTCACGTCCCTTCGCGATGTACCTTTACCTCTACTGAAACTACATTTCCCATAAGGTCGCGAGGCAGCGGAGAGCCAGGGTCCCGCTGTGTGACCCCCTCCTCTCCTCATCCATTTATTTATTGGAGTTTAACCGCCCTCCTCCCCCTCCCCCGCCAAAGCAGGGCTGTTTACAATAATCCATAATACCGGATTAAAATAAAAAAATAAGAACAAAATAATTCCCCGCAAAACACTCTGGGGCTTGTGGTTCGAGCGCGACGCGGAAACCTTTTCCCGTTCCGACTTCCGCGCGGCGCGCCCGCCCTCCCGGCCGGGGACTACCTTTCCCGTCAGGCCCCGGGGCTCCTCCCGCGGTACCAATGCCTCTCCTCACAGCTCTTCCCCCCACCCCGCCCCTCACCACTTTTGGCGGAGACATTTGCGAAGCGAGTCTCTCCAAGATGGCGGCCTGGGGAAGGAGGCGCGCGGGGCCCGGCAGCTCCAGCGGAGGAGGCAGGGAGAGGTGAGCGGCGGGAGGCCCCGGCCTGCCCTGCCCTGCGGCCCTTGTCCCGGGAAGGCGGCGGGGCGGCCTCTGGGGTCGGGTGGGAAGACCCAGGCCCGTGGAGT